GTCAAGTACAGATGGTTCACTAACACTATGGCATAAGTATAAATAAATATTTAAACAAAATTTAGATGCATGTGCTGTCCATTCTAAATTTTATACAAGGATACATTCCCAGACATCTTACACACAAGCACACCACTTGTATCTGTAAAGAATGTTTTGGAAAAAATGAAGCATTGAATATAATGAAATGTTTTATTTCTGGTTGGCCCCCAATGGCTACCTGTGCTTATTTTAGTACTGTACTACCTAGTTTAGTCCAACACACTAGACGTCTGAAACTCATCTGTCACCTACCAGGAGCCAGAACCAGAATCTGACTCACCATGAGGAGAGGGAAGCAGGTGATCAGAGATGAACCATTAAACTAGGGAAACCCACCAGAAAGCTTTGGTGTAATAAGCCGATCAAGACTAGGCAATACTGTAGACTAGGTGCCTGACAGCTGAGTGGACAGCGCTTCGGATCCAGAGTCCTGAGGTTCCGGGTTCGATCCCCGGTGGAGGCAGAAACAAATGGGCAGATTTTCTTTCACCCTGATGCCCCTGTTACCTAGCAGTAAATAGGTACCTGGAAGTTAGACAGTTGCAATGGGCTTCTTACTGGGAGTAACAAAAAGGAGACCTGGTTGAGGACCGGGCCGCGGGGATGCTAAGCCCTGAAATCATCTCAAGATAACCTCGAGATAGACTGCAATTGATGAGTCAAGAAGAACCAAGAGAGAGAGAGAAGTTAACATACGGATAAAAACTGACACAAAGGATAAATGCTGAGGAGATGAACAGGAGGAGAGACAGCTGAGCTACCACACAGCATCAGAACAAAGACACCAACGCAGGACCAACAAGTCCACCATCCGACTGACTGAAGAGTTAGGAAAGGACAAAGAAACCCCACACTTGAGAGCTGATGGAGTGCTTCAAACCATTGACATTAGGCACTTTGCTGAACCTCAGGAGGAGACAGAGCTTGGAAGGAAAAGGAAGGGAACTATGGAGAAACTGGTCACAGGAAAGATAAATCCATCACCCCCAGGCCAGATGAAAAGCACCCTCTTTGAACACTGCATGACCTAAAACAGAATCCCATAGAATGGAAGCTGCTGGGACCATGCAGAGGTAAACAGGCCTCCGTGTATGGCTGAAAAGTGTACAAAACCGGAGGAAGAAGGCCTTGTCCATCATCCATTTCACCGATATGGATGGAAAGGAGAGAATGAGAATAGTTCACAGGCGTCAAAAAGGAACAACACTAAGACCCAAGAAAGAGAAACAAAAAGCAAGAATACCTTTAGCAACCAGCTCCACAGGGAGGGAAAACAAGCCCTTCTCCCCGAAGAGGCACTATCCGAAAGATAACTAAGAGTACAGTATAGCCTTGTGGGAGATGGGCAGAATGAAGTAACACTGAGTGGACAGCACAACCACTTCACAATAGCATCCCTGGGATTAATTGCCATAGGAGGACAGAGATATTTGGGTACATTTTGGAAGTTAGACAACTGTTGTGGGTTGCATTTCGGGAAAGGTCACTAGTTGACCTAGGGACCCCACGATAAGCATTTACAGGATTCCTGTCCAAATATGGGAACCAAACTTTCATACCATAAAGGCTGAATGCTGCAGACTAAGACATCATAGGCACTGACTGATGTGGGAAGAGCTGGAGATGAATCCACAACAGAGGACTGACAACCTGTAACAGAAGAAGAGGGTGCCACAAAACTGACACAATCAAAAGTCAAAACAGATGACACAGAATCTACCTCGGGCAAATGGGGCATGCTCCACACGGAACTGGCTGCAGCCGAGTGGGAACGCAATGCAGGTAAAGGCAAGGCCACCCAAAAAGTAAATGAGACCACTCTACAACCAGCCATATTGAGGAGGCACAGGCATATCGGGTCCAACCAAGGAAGATAAATGAAGGCTGGCCTTAGACTTGGTCTTAGACCAGGCCCAGCCAGATCCTAGGAAGGCATCTAAGATCCTAAGATCTCATAGTTGAGCAAAACTCTAGAGCAGGCCAACTGGGAAAGGATTAGATCCCTAGCAACCACACAAAAGGGATCACTATGGGCCAAATGTTGCCAGTTGCTGAGATAGGAAAGAATACAAATCTCCCAAAGATGATGGACAACCATGCACGTTAGTCTGGGGAGTATTTGGGGTCCAGAAAAAGATTAAATGACAGAACCTAAAATTGGTACAAGAGGTGCCTCCCACAAAACCCTGAACACAAAAATTAAGAGGACATGCCAAAGGAACATAAGTATAAATACAGACGATGAGTCACAATAACATGGCTGAAGATATGATATCCAAACCACACATCAGAAAATGAAGAAACGACAACATTTTGGTTCGTCCTAGACCATTACCAAGTGGTGTAAGGATGACACAACTTGACAATGGTCCAGGACAAACCAAAAAGTTGTCATCTTAATTTTCTGATGTGTGGTTTGGACATCATAAGTAAAAATGGAGCTGCAAAAGGCCTATTGGTCCATAGCACCCATTTACATCCACCCAAACTTATTCATATAGACACTACTACTAGATGGGATACCCAGTGGTGCCTGGGTCTCCCTCCCACCTCCCCTATCTTCCCTGGGGTCTCACTCCCCCCTCCCCCCCATCTCTCCCACCTCCCCTGGGTCTCACTCTCACCTTCCCCGGGTCTCACTCCCACCTGCCCCATCTCTCTCACCTCCCCTGGGTCTCACTCCCACCTGCCCCATCTCTCCCACCTCCCCTGGGTCTCACTCCCACCTGCCCCATCTCTCCCACCTCCCCTGGGTCTCACTCCCACCTCCCCCATGTCTCCCTTCTGCCCTCCACTTTTTCCCCTTCTCTCCTTCAATCGTCCCCTCTCCAACTTTCTTCCCTCTTTCCTTCCATTTGCCCCCCTCCCCTCCCTCTCCTCTCTCCCTCCATCTCATTATGTAATGCTGTAACCCTGATGGAATTAACATTCATTGTTTTTTAGTAAACTATAAAAATGCACAGATAAACAACAGGAGTAAGTATAAAAACTATCTACTGAAAAGATATCCCCAATTTCATTTCAGATTTCATGAAAACCATGGGGGATCACTGCAGATGTCGAATTTTATTAAAAAAAAAAAACACACTTGGGCCAACCCCCAACTTGCCTATGGCACTCCCATACCTCTATATTTCATGTTGGAAAGCTGGGTGAGACTACACGCAAGTATTTTCAGCTACCCCTATTAATTTATGCCTAAGGGAGTGACCAACATGGCATTAAGACCTGTATAAATGAAATGCTCCTTAATGAGTCAGTTCATCAGTCACTCATGGGCCTTCCCAAACTTACTCTTTACAAATTTTGGGGAATGCCTTGGGTATGAAAAGGAAGGCATGATCACCAGTTGGGGCCGTTTACATGTTCTGCGCTTCAATCTGGTGGTAAGAATGGTGATAGCTATATCACCATTGATACAGTTTGTATCAATAAATGTTTGTATCATTTATCTGGTACTTTGGTAATTGGTTTTTCTGGTACCGATTTGGTAATTGGTAATTGGTTTATCTGGTAATTTGGTAATTGGTTTGGTAATTGTAAAGCAGAGCTTTACATATTTCCTTAACTTCAAGTATTGCTTTGATTAAGTTTTGTTGAATGCAGAGGAAAGCACCTTGTGAAGATTATTCTGGACCAGAGAATTCTCTAGTATCCGTCTTCTTTTGTGGTTAGTGAAGACGTTTGCAAAGATCCTGCTGATTTTTGAGAAGTTAAGGCCATTGTGATCCTGGTTCAAGGCAGCAAGACACGCTGGGTAAGTGGCACTTGCTTAAGGAACTGATTGAGGGGGACCGACTCAAGAAGGAACATTTCATCTACCATATGTTCGGCCTAATACCTAATATCTAATGTGTTTATAGTTCAAGTGAATCGTTTCTGCTTGGTAACCTCTGCATTTTGATTTAACATTCATTTAATTCCTCTACTGTATTTCTACATGCATATTTTTATCTACGTTTCCTACTTTCTTGATGATATCCCAATACTTGTACTATAATGATAATCTCTGCCTTGCTATAATTTTCTCAACTATTTAAAACTTTCGCCAAAGATAATTTAATAGCTGCTGCATCATTCAAATTCTGGTTCACCTTAAACAATTTACTAATAATTTAGTGTATGCATGTATAAAAATTTATTCAGCCATATCCATACCTTAGTGTACTCTATTACTTTTATAAGAAACTAAAATCTTTCAATAGCTGCTTCTTATTGTTTTTATATATCCATTTTCAACATTTTGTAAGGTTTCCCTATTTCTTTTAAATGCAGTAAGGTACACCGTAAGCAAGTTCAGGATACGGGAATGATTCTTCATGTAGACGACTATACAAATATTAATCGACTACACAAACATTAATAAAGATTTCAGTCTATCTCGTTATAACGAATAAAATCCTTACAACATTTCAATCATTTGTACAGCAATAGGTAAATAGGCCATAGTGTTACACCTAGCTCTGACCTGACCTGTTGTTTTGATTAAAATCTAAGCGAATAGCAAGAAAGGATAATCTTATCCCAATCACTATCAAATTTCATCAATGTTTGTATTGTAGCTGCACCATCTACAGGTCAAGTGGCAAGAATTTAGTTGTTAAGAGCAACATGCAGGCCATAATTTATTATGATGTATTTCGAGTGTATGAAGAAAGTGTAATTAATTGCTTATCGATTGTAAAAACTGAAGGGATGTGCCTATACAAAATACTATATGAAATCATTAAGGAAAATGCTATGCATGGAATTGTAGATGATAAAAGTTTATCGCACTGTTCACTACAAGAGGTTTATACACAATAACTAATTACTTTGTGCTGCAAATACGCTATGAAGTGGCTAAACACGAAGCCCTGAACAGACTGCAGCAAGGAATCATGTGTTGTGCGTAGACAAGCAAAAGTTGCAAATGCAGCACAAAAAAAAAAAAAATACCTACGAGAGTTAACTAGTACCTCTATCTGTTGGAAACTGTTGGACATCATAGCTATGAGCATATTAATAAGAACAATGATGGACATGACGTGGTAGGCCATGAAGAGGCCCTGCCCCACAGTCTCTATGAACCCATGCTCCTCCTCAAGGTCCGTACTCTTGGGAGAACTGATACCAAACAGGGACCAAAACAGCGTTGCAAATGTCACGTCCAACCTAGAAAACACAGAGGGTAATCATAGAACAAAAAAAAAAGTTTTTTCCACATGCCATCACAGAAAATAAACAGGACTTGAGAGACATTCCGAAGGGAAACTGGAATACAAGATACAGTACTGGAAGAAGAGCCACAGCTGTAAAAGGAGGTCAATTATTAATATAAAGGTATAGGTGAGAATCAAGTCATTTATTGATACAGGAGAAGGGAAGACTGTGCAATACAAGTGGATCAGAAAAAAAAAAGAAATATAGAAGATCCAGTTTAGTGTGAATATAAAAACATTCATAGCAAAATTGTTATTTAATTAGCTTAAAAAACTAGATGCTTACATAAATATATTCAGAGCACTTCAAAATAAATACAAACAATTTGGAAAGTAAGTCTTCAGCATCAATATCACAAAACAATAAATGAAGCAGAGATTAAATAAAACTACTACAGTGTCATCCCTTTGTATGACGCGAGCATCACATCATTCAAAATAACAGCTCGGGTAGATAACCAATTGTCATAAGCTTGTCTGCATAGGCAGTTGATAGCAATGCAACAGTAATAAACATCACATAATAGGAACCATTGTGAGAAAGGGGCAAGTTCCCAAGATTTTTTTAGTATCGGATATTATTTATTTTATTTGAAACAAAACAAAAATCAACTCTGCAACAGCTTACAAACAACTAACCATCCCAGTGGCATCAGCAACAAGGATGAAACACATGCCACTCCACAAGTGATGATGATCATCATAACAAAACCTTAAAAGTTACATCCAATTCAGTGGGTCAAGGCTGCAGTAGCGGCACAGGAGCTCCAGCCACCTTGTTTACCTCCACGATCTGGAAAGAACGACTCATCATGGCAATGAGCATGTTGACCATCACTGTGATGGCCATGATGAGGTACGCTCCAAGCAGTGAGTGGCCGACGATGTCCGTGAAGAGTTGGTCCTTGCGATTTGACAGTTGCTTCAGGGGGATAACACCGAAGAGGGACCAGAGGAGGGCGGTGTAAGACTTGTCGATCCTAGAGTGCGGTGGAGGAGGTGTCAGGGTCAGTGAGACACGGCCATATGTATGTATAGGTGTATGTATGTATGTGTATGTAATTACCTAAGTGTAATTACATGTGTATGTGTGTGTGAGTGTGTGTAATTACCTAGGTGTAGTTACAGGATGGGAGCTACGCTTGTTGTGTCCCGTCTTCCCAGCACTCTTTGTCATATAACTCTTTGAAACTTTTAAACTTTGTGTGTGTGAGTGTGTGTGTGTGAGGTGCACACGAGAATAAATTCTGAAGTATACAAAAGGGTTCAGTTATTATGGCTGTAAAAGGTTTTAAAATTAAACCTTGCACATTATCACCATGGAGCCTGGACAATGGGTAGTGATGTAATAAATATCCAAGGAGTAATGCTGGAAAATTTGGGTGAAGCTGTTTTAGGACGAGGAAGTAGTATTGCTTGTAATTCAAGAACAATTACACTATGTTGTTATAAAATAAACATTAAAAACTAACCAGTTAAAGAGTAAGAATACTGTAGTAGTGGTTGTATGTTTTGTGCTTACATTTCATACTTGAGTTTAGAAATTACTTTTTACCCAGCTACACTTCATCAAAGTTTAGTGTTTTGAGGTGGTACACATCTTAACATGATCAATAGCAGTAGTCTTCTATATTAAAACAAAATCTTACTCAGAGGTGCATAATGATTAAATCACAGATGTTATAAGGCGAAAGCTGTGAAAGTAAGATATTATAACTGAGAAACAGTGTAGTAACAGCTTAAAGCCTGCCATCTTCTCCTTATAATCAAGAAGATGGGTTGTGAGAAGACCTGCAAGAAAAATATAACACTCCCGATATAAACAAAAAATATCGAGTGTAATTAGAAAGTACGGCTTTGCACAGATCAATTAAATGATAAATAATAGAGCAAGGGTCCATGTTTTTGTAATTCACTTGCCTGTGTTACTAGCAGGTGTGATGGTTGACACTGCAAAGAACTAGAATTGCATTACAACATTTGGGGAAGCAGAAAAATTATCGGAAATTATCTTTGAATTATTACAGTATTGCATATTTTCTGGCAATGGTGTTCTGCATCTTTGTTACATTCCACCTGCCATTCAAGTTTCATGAGTACATTATCAAATATATGAAGGGAAAGCAAAAGTGAAAAAAATACAATTTCTGAAATACTGTTATCACAAGTCAAGCCTGGCCTCAGGCCAGGCTCAGGGAATAGAAGAACTCCCAGGTAACATTATAATACAAAGGAAATGCAAAGTTTCAGGGGCACGTCTTGCGTAAACACTGCTACACAAACCTAGAGCTGTCACCTTAGCCTATAAACATTAGTGCACATATATGGGGTATTACAAAAATATGCATTATTATAATCTCAGTGTACTATACAATATAACTCAAATAATTATTTCCTGCACACTATACACAACTATACACAATATAGAGATTACTTAAAAGTTATGAATAGAGACTGACATGCGTAAGTTGAAAAGTTATAATTGGTCAAACTATATTAGTAAAATCTTAGCCAGTATAATGTGTTTAGCATGTAATACTGTACTAAATACATAACACTTGCTTTCTGTATAGGAGTTCTGGTATTATTTCTCCTTGTAACATGATGAGCATTTTTAGAAAATAACCATTCATCCTAGCATGCTATAGATCTATTTCACAAGCTCATCATACCTCATCATGCTGGAATCATCTATCTATATGTCAGATGTGACACCACTGACAGGAACTCTCATGCCCTCAGAGTGACTTAAATCAGAAAAACCTTTAAGCATCACATTACTGATATAGTCTTTATTTTGGAACCATCACAAATATGCTGTATGCAATCCTTCACTTCTTCTTCCTTACCATGAGGGAAAATGTGGCGCCATGAGGTCACCTCCCCATCATTCCAGCCCCTCTGAATTACTTTTGTCCAGGCCTGCCATCACACACACACACACACACACACACATTCTTGTATCAACATGTTAAACAAGCTACGAGGATGAGGGAAGGGGACGTTCCCTCCATGCTAGATTTGATATTTACCAGGAAGGAGGAAGAGATATTTGACATTCAGTACCTTCCTCCCTTGGGTAAAAGTGACCATGTCTTTTTGGGAATAAAGTATGCAATGCGTTATAAGCTGGAAGAAAATAAGGAGGTTGAAGCAGTTGAAAAACCAGACTTCAGGAGAGGACATTATGGTGACCTTAGACATTTTTTTAGTGAGTATAATTGGACAGACTTGATGCTAGGCAAGAAAGTGAATGAGATGTATGTCAAGTTTCGTGAAATATATGATAAAGGCACAAAAAAATTTATACCAAAACAGAGATGCAGGACCAGAAAACAGGATTGGTTCGACAGAAATTGTGAGAGGGCAAGAGACCAAAAGACACAAAAATGGAATCAGTATAGGAAGAGGCCAAACCCCCAAACATACCAGCGATACAAAGATGCGAGAAACAATTATACAGCAGTAAGGAGAGAGGCAGAAAGAAATTTTGAAAAAGGGATAGCAGATAAATGTAAAACAGAACCGGGCCTATTCTACAAATTCATAAACAACAAATTGCAGGTAAAGGATAATATCCAGAGGTTGGAAATGGGAAACAGATTCACGGAAAATGAAAAGGAAATGTGTGAAACATTAAATGAAAAGTTCCAAAGTGTGTTTGTACAAAATGAAATCTTCAGAGAACCAGACACAATAAGAATTCCAGAGAACAACATAGAGCGGATAGAGGTGTCTAGAGATGAAGTGGAAAATATGCTAAAGGAGCTCGGGAGGAACAAAGCAGCTGGCCCAGATGGCGTTTCACCATGGGTTCTGAGAGAATGTGCATCTGAGCTCAGCATTCCACTTCACCTGATCTTTCAGGCATCCCTGTGTACAGGAATCGTAGCAGACGTGTGGAAACAGGCTAACATAGTTCCAATCTACAAAAGTGGCAGCAGGGAAGACCCCCTCAATTATAGACCTGTATCATTGACAAGTGTAATAGTGAAAGTATTGGAAAAGCTAATCAAAACTAAATGGGTAGAACACCTGGAGAGAAATGATATAATATCAGACAGACAGTATGGTTTTCGATCAGGAAGATCCTGTGTATCGAATTTACTCAGTTTCTATGATCGGGCCACAGAGATATTACAGGAAAGAGATGGCTGGGTTGACTGCATCTATCTGGACCTAAAAAAGGCTTTCGACAGAGTTCCACATAAGAGGTTGTTCTGGAAACTGGAAAATATTGGAGGGGTGACAGGTAAGCTTCTATCATGGATGAAAAATTTTCTGACTGATAGAAAAATGAGGGCAGTAATCAGAGGCAATGTATCGGAATGGAGAAATGTCACAAGTGGAGTACCACAGGGTTCAGTTCTTGCACCAGTGATGTTTATTGTGTACATAAATGATCTACCAGTTGGTATACAGAATTATATGAACATGTTTGCTGATGATGCTAAGATAATAGGAAGGATAAGAAATTTAGATGATTGTCATGCCCTTCAAGAAGACCTGGACAAAATAAGTATATGGAGCACCACTTGGCAAATGGAATTTAATGTTAATAAATGTCATGTTATGGAATGTGGAATAGGAGAACATAGACCCCACACAACCTATATATTATGTGAGAAATCTTTAAAGAATTCTGATAAAGAAAGAGATCTAGGAGTGGTTCTAGATAGAAAACTATCACCTGAGGACCACATTAAGAATATTGTGCAAGGAGCCTATGCAATGCTTTCTAACTTCAGAATTGCATTTAAATACATGGATGGCGATATACTAAAGAAATTGTTCATGACTTTTGTTAGGCCAAAGCTAGAATATGCAGCTGTTGTGTGGTGCCCATATCTTAAGAAGCACATCAACAAACTGGAAAAGGTGCAAAGACATGCTACTAAGTGGCTCCCAGAACTGAAGGGCAAGAGCTACGAGGAGAGGTTAGAAGCATTAAATATGCCAAAACTAGAAGACAGAAGAAAAAGAGGTGATATGATCACTACGTACAAAATAGTAACAGGAATTGATAAAATCGACAGGGAAGACTTCCTGAGACCTGGAACTTCAAGAACAAGAGGCCATAGATTTAAACTAGCTAAACACAGATGCCGAAGAAATATAAGAAAATTCACCTTCGCAAATAGAGTGGTAGACGGTTGGAACAAGTTAAGTGAGAAGGTGGTGGAGGCCAAGACCGTCAGTAGTTTCAAAGCGTTATATGACAAAGAGTGCTGGGAAGACGGGACACCACGAGCGTAGCTCTCATCCTGTAACTACACTTAGGTAATTACACTTAGGTAATTACACACACACACACACACATACACATACACATACACATACACATACACACACACACACACACACACACACACACACACACACACACACACGATATCTAAACCACTGTACCGTACTTCTTTTGACCCACTGAGTTACTTCATGCTTCTTATCTCTGGTCTTTGCCATCCTAGTTTCTTATTATTCCCTCCTTTCATTGTTGTGGAGTGAGTGTAAGAAATAATAGTTTATAATGTGCTTCATATATGAATATATTTATGGTAACGCTGGATGAATATATGCCGAAAAGTCTATGCTGAATGAGCACACACAATGATAGCATTACTGTATATAGTCAATGTTTGGTTCTACATATTAATTAATTTTGACATCCAGAAATGCTGTTGAATCAATTTTTTGTTTTCTTTCTATATCTAGAATCATGCTACTTTGAGAGCTAAAATCTACTCAGGAAGTTGAGAATATTTGCATCTGATCCTATATTTGATACCATACAGGAACTTTGAAGAAATAGGCTAAAGTTTGTACAGGTTATAACTATTTCTAAGATATATACAGTATAAAAACTTGGAGCCAAAATCTCAATGTCATTAACCTGTCCTGGTGTGGGATGAACCCTAATTGAACATACCTGTCAATGTTCAAGCTGTGCTGCATGAAGTCTTTGTAAGAAATAAATTTCAATATGACTAAACTAATATTGTGCTTAATATATAAATACTGGATTTATGGCAGGATGGGAGGAGAGAATATGGCAGGTGTACTACGGTGTTTAAATGTAGAAACTTTTAGTAGCATACTGTAGCCCTAACCCAACAGTGAGGCTTGTGTGGATAGGACACCGGTGAAGGAAATAATGTCAGTTGCAATGGATCAAGTAACTAGTCAGGTTTCATTTATAGATCAATTTTGGCCTAAACTGAAGTTTGCATTATTAGAAATGTAAATAACTATCACGTTTTAAAATGGTCCTCTTTCATAGTATAGCATATCCTCTTGACTTTTTTTTTTTTTAAAGAATATTTCAAGAAAGGTTTTCCTTAAAATCTATAATCAAAACAAGCTCTTAATCACAGAATTGTATAAGTGAATTGCCCAACTAAATTTCAGCCCATCCTCCAATATTGATACTACTGTACTTATAGCAACAGTTTGGTCAAATATACAAAACTAGACTGTTAGATCACAAAAAAAACATCACTGAATGTAATGAAATGCCATTTTCTGGGTGAGCCCCAGAGGCTCCCTAGAGCTATGGGACTAATGTGTGATATATTAGACCGGGGCATTAGTCTACGGAGTTCAACCTACTGGGGACCACGAGCCAGAACCTGGCCCCCCTCAAAGTGGTTTCATTGAGCAATGGCCCTGGAAAACCCCTTCTGGAGTTTTCCGCCCTCCCCTCCCCTCCCCTCCTTTCCCCGTGCCACCTACCCTGCACTCCAGTTCGGAAGCTAGGCATCAAACAATGTGAAATACAGCTGACCGGAGGAAAGGAGGGTTGCCAGGGAGCCTCCAGGGCTCACCCAGAAAATGGCATTTACCAGCAATGTGAGGTAAAATTCCTGTAGTCTCTCCTTGTAGCTCATACCCCTCAGTTTGGGTATTAGTCTGGTGGCAAACCTTTGAACCTTCTCCAGTTTAGTCTTATGCTTAACAAGATATGGACTCCATGCTGGAGCTGCATACTCCAGGATTGGTCTGACATATATGGTATACAAAGTTCTGAATGATTCCTTGCACAAGTTTCTAAAGGCTGTTCTTATATAGGCCAACCTGGCATATTCCGCTGATGTTATCTTCTTCATATGGGCTTCAGGAGACAGGTGTCGCATGATATCAACACCCCAGGGCTTTCTCTCTCTCTCTCTGATTCTTGAATTTCATCTCTCAAATGATAACTTGTATCTAGCCTCCTGCTCCCTACACCTATCTTCATTACATTACATTTGCTTGGGTCAAACTCTAACACCGACTTGTTGGACCATTCCTTCAGTTAGTTTAGGTCATCTTGTAGCCTCATATCATGTTCCTTTGTCTTAATCCTCCTCATAATTTTTGCATCATCAGCAAACATGGAGAGAACCGAGTCTATTTCCTCTGGGAGATCCTTTACATATACTGTATCAGAAACAGTAGAGGTCCAAGAACTGATTCCTGAGGGACTCCACTGGTGACGTCTCACCCCTCACAGTGACTCGCTGTCTTCTGTTGCGTAGGTACTCCCTTTTTCAGTGGAGTACCTTTCCTTTCACTCCTGCCTGCACCTCTAGTTTGTGCACTAGTCTTTTATGTGGCACTGTGTCAAAGGATTTTTGGCAATCCAAAAATATGCAGCGAGTGTGTGCATGTGGGGGGAGGGGAGGGGGTGCTCTCTCAGTGTAAGTAAGAACAGGGAGCCAGCATTTGGCCCCACCAGAAAATAAATATCGTAAATATAAATGTAGAATTGTTACTTTACAGTGTTCACTTAATGTGGGTAAATATAAATAATTAGTAAAATTACCTGCAGAATTATGACTGGCTGAATTTTGCCTCTAGCTGATATTATTTCCTTGGTTTAGGTCATTTGAGATGGTGGCTCAAAGGTAAATTCAGGTCATATTTAGCGAATATTGGAATTAAATCCAAATTGAAGGTTATATTTAAAACTGACTGGTTACAGTTAGTTGAGAGAAAAAACTGGCTAAAGTTCATCTTGTTGTCCTTTTGTGTATTAATGGCAAGCATAGCACATAACTACTGAAGCAGGAAGCCTGTTTGTGGGAACTATAGGGAGGGGTAGAAGCAGGTCTCCAGGCTGACTTGTGTGTATATAGCATCAACTTATTGCAACGGTTGAGGTAAGTCTTTAACGGAAATTTGGTATGGATGATATTTCTCGTGGGCTTTTACAGGCAGCTTTTATTCATTATTCTTATGGACTAAAGTTAAAATGACTTTTAAAGGCAGTGTAAATATCAGTTTTAAACATTTCCTTTGAAAGTACAGTAGAAGATATTTAAGGCCACTAAAGGTGACTTAAGAATTATGCTTTAAAATGAGCTTTTATGAATCCTTGAAGAATGGTTTTAAGGATCTTTCTTTTTCAAGGTGATCAAGTGGAACTTTATAGTACTGCACTCTTTTACAGGGTAATCAAGTTGAGCTGTTAGAATAACCCTCTTCAAAATGTCCATCAGGAGAGACTGCTTGAGAATGACTTAGAGGAGACAATTCCACACTAACTACCATGAAGACATGTTTCACCTTTAAAGGTGGCCATTACATGCAGCTTTATTTTAGGGAAATGGTGAAAGATGACTTCGAGATATGAACAAGTCTAAACTTTAAGAGGAAACGTGTAAATGTTACCTCTAAGAATGGCCAGTGATTTGTTACCTTAATAAGGGGGGACTGAATGTAATTATCATTAATGATGATCAGTAAGGTACAACCTTTAAAAGGGGGAATATTAAGATTTCCTCTAAGGATACCCATTGAGTCTATCCTCGAAGGGAAACACTCAAGGGTGGCCTGATCAGCGAGTGCAACCTTTAGGGGCAACAGATAAAGGTGATTTGGAAGGATGGCACCGACAAGTGTCACTCACGTCTTGAAGCCGCCTTTGTACTCGCCACCATCACTGCGCACGAGAAATACAAGCATTAATAAATTAAATTGATTCAATAAATCATAGTGGATCAGTAGCTCAAGATGCAAATCTCGTTCAAAATGAATTACTGTACAGTGAATTCAAGATACAAATGTGCTTCAAAATGAATTACTGTACTCTAAAGTGAATCCCAAATTCAAAGCAAACCAATTAATAGAAATGAATTAATATGGCTCATAGGAGAAAGCTTATCAACAATCCACAGTTGAGGAAGAACCATAGACATTCAATAGACAGTCAGAATGACTAAATTCGTGAAAATGTGTTGGTGAATCTCGATGGTAACTGGCCTGAATTATAAGCAATCAAGGCGAGTCAAAATTATAAAACTGTTCATCAAATGTCAATAAACACCAACGTATCATTATTGTTTTAAATGATCAGTAGCATCATGTGGAATGATAATTGTGAGCAGATGGACCAAAATGAATTATTGTTTTGAAATAACGAACAGATATACATCAAAGGTTATGATGACAACACTGGATCTGTGGGTAGAAGATGAGTAATGAGTAAAACTGCATACTGTATGTGGATCCTAGTGAACCAAGAGATCATGCTGCATCTGTGGAGTATAGTGAATCAGTGGATAAAACTAGTTTATTAGATCAAATTAGATCCCATGAGCACCTGCAGATGAACTGGTGAAACTGGAACTGCTGAGAATCAAGTAGAACAACGGAGTTATGGTAAATCACTGAAAGGTGTGACATACGTAAAGGACTTGATCTTAGCCTCTTATACAAACAGATCTTAGCAGATCTTATACAAACATTAGATCTGTTTGTACAAGATCTTAGCAGATCTTATACAAACAGCAGGATCTTAGCATCTTATACAAACATTTGTATTCCGTATATATATCTCTGTTATCCTGAAAGTAGACCATTGACATATACAATGAACATTATGGGTGATGGGTCTGAGCCTTGTGGATGCCAGCTAGTGGTATCTCCTCAGTCCAATTACTGTTCTCTTAATCACGTTACTGCTTTCATCTTGCTATTTGCTAGAAAGTTTTTATTCACACTATTGGTCTCTCTATCACTCCTAAAATATACTCTAGCTGTTAAAACGATACATGTATCTTGTGTGGGACACTATCAATACCTTTCTGAAGTTCAGAAAGATGCAATCTACCCAGCCATCTCTGTCATGAAATATTTTTGTCATTATTGTAGAAACTGATGCCAATTTGGCACACACAAGATCTTTCAGTCTTAAAGCTAAATTGTCTGTTTATCTTGAGATGATTTCGAGGCTTAGCGTCCTCGCGGCCCGGTCCTCGACCAGGCCTCCTTTTTGTTACACATCCCCAAGAAGCAGCCCATAGCAACGGTCTAACTCCCAGGTACCTATTTACTGCTAGGTGAACAGAGGCATCAGGATGAAAGAAACTGCTCATTTGTTTCCACCTCTGCTGGGAATCAAACCCTGAACCTTAAGACTACAAATCCTGAGTGCTGTCCACTCAGCAGCCATGCCCCCCCCTGAATGAAAAGATGTTTGACCCCTCTGGTTTGAAAAATTGTGTTTTTATAGATAATCCACCCCACTTAATTTTAATTGCATTTCCTAGTGGTATGGCTTAAGCTCTGCATTCTATGTCTCATATTCCTCCTGTCACTATTGTCAGCTTCAAGCTCAATAAGCCCCAATGCAGGATAATAAAAAACAACTATTTTTGCACCTACGTATCTAGGTTAGCTTAGCATTTTAAAAGCACCGAATCACCTTCTGTGGTTGATTGTTCAATAAACCCTTGAACTATATGTTTAACACATCTCTAACCCTGTCCATGGAGGACAGAAGAAAATGTATATATGTTGATTAGCATTGTAACTGTGTGGCCACGTCTGTGGTAGAAAATAATAATAAGAAAAAACCCTACAGGGGTAATAAACCCATAGAATTACCTATCCGCTGATGGCATAAATGCCCAGACAATACTCCAGTTTAAAATTCAGCTGGAAAAATACTTGGAAATTAAGGTAGGGACCTTTGACAAGATGCTAGTTTCCTGTCATCTTCAAGGCTACTGAGATAATGGCCCTCAGTCTTTGAACTTTTGTTGTTCACATGCAAATTTAAACCCAGAATACACTGGGTCCTTTCTTACATTTGTCGGTTATTTCTTCCTAAAAATCTTGTTCCTTTTATATTTTCATGTAGTGGTTTTGAGCATGTGTGAAATTCTGAGATATGTACAAGTTAGATCTATTCCTACAATTGGTCCATTTTTTCCTATTCAAATCCCAAGCTCTCTCACAACTTCTGTTGTATTTTTCCTGCTTTCCAGTCCCATATCAATTTTTGTTTGTTACATATTTTTGACAGAATTTTGCATGCAACTCATGTACATCTTTACTGGAAAGCAAAGTATCCCAATCAAAAGTAATAAGGAACTCACTCAATCTTCATCATGTCTTTATTTTTCTTTTGAATCAAGAAATTCAAATTTCTGAAATGGCTGAAGAATCAAGAAATTCACATTTCTTGATTCCTGCCCTTGTTCCACTCACCATTATGTAATACTGAATCACATAAGTAATTTTGAAGAGAACATTATCACTTTCTAACATAGGCAGGTACTCAAAACCGGATTTTATTTTTTTCTGTCTTGATGAAAAAGAAATACAGCTTTGAGGAGCAATGCTGTATTTACAGCAAATACAGCAGTGCTGTATTTACAAATACGGCATTGTAAAACTTCATGTTTTACTCATGTGGCCGGTCAGTGTGCTGATCCATACATGTATCCAGTTCGTGTTGTATCATAAGCCTCCAAATCATTTAGATTTGATATTAACATCCCCCAACATCAATAATATGGCTATCAATATGACTATCCTTTTGTGCCTTTTGAACACTGCTCATTCAGCCCGTCCTCTCAAGCATTCCCAACGTCACTAAACTGATGTACTACATTGCCTGAACCTAACTTAACCGAGGACCCACGAATAGTAAACGGGACATCGTGTCAATTTTGCGAGCTGCTATGATTTTTAGCAAATTACGGTAGTTTTTGGCATAGGTGGACTTATACATTAAAATGTGATGTACTATTCAAGAGGACAGGTTGGCTCATTAATATGACAAGCAATTCTAATTTTGTATCAGATTTCTCTCATTTTCTCTCAAAAACTGCAGCAAGTGGTTATCATTTATTCATTATTACTCTATTTGATGCAGATGAAGAGTCATAATAATGTGGCTGAAAAATATTGACCAAAACCTCACACTAGAAATGGAAGAGATGACGACGTTTCGGTCCGTCCTGGACCATTATCAAGTTGATTGTCTTGCTAATGTCTAATAATCAACTTGATAATGGTCCAGGACGGACCGAAACGTCGTTGTCTCTTCCATTTCTAGTGCGGTTTGGTTAATTCTACTTGATGTTCCAAGCATCGGAATCAACCAAAGCAGAAATGCATGCAAATTATGAGTTCTAAACTGTTGAATGACTTCCCAAATGCAATAAAATGTTGTCAAAATGTGGCTATCAGCAATATTGTCACTGCTTATGCAGGAGAAAAATAGATACATTTGCATGCAAAAACTAAGGGAGGGGGCTGGATCACGTGTCTTTCTACACCGAGATGTGAGGGTTGCTGACACGGTGGTATGGGAGAAGAGGACACGCATGCTCGCCGTAAGATGTTTTAAGTTTGCCACTTCACATATTAGTTTACCTATGCACAATTCATGTTAATAACTATTGAATTTTGTTGGAGACAGGAAGCCTGTGTATACAGTATAAACAGTGTTAGCAGGGCTGTTTATAATAACGTCCAGCCCTGCTCTTGCGCTCCCCACATTCCATGCCATTGATGAACCTTGCAAGTTATATCCCCTGTATTTTCAGCTTTTGTTGTCTTCTCCCACATTGTTTAGGCGAGAGCTGTAAGCCAATCAGGCTTCGAGTCTCACACTTCAATCAAGATGAGGAGGAAGTACTGGATGTTAATTCAACAGATTAAAATGTAAATACAGTATGACAAAATCCTTGGGGTAAGGAAGGCATCTCACCAGTTGATTCAACCCACTCTTTTGTTTAGATAGTAGCTTTTGTTACTATGTGTACCATAGTACAGTACAAAGATTGCCATTCTAAGCAATTAGATGGTAGAACTTTGTACTATTCATTTTATAAGAGTCAGAAAAATTAAGCTAAAAAACAAACTTAAATATTCCTAGGCCTAGTATAGCATACATATGTACTATATTAGGCCTCAGAAATCGTGTATTAGGCCTAGGAAGGGTAGGTTAGTTTAGCTTGTACAGTATTTGCAACATAGGTAGAAAATAGTTTTTCAGTTTGTCCAATTCAATAGTGCCGATTTCTACTTTTTAGTTTTGTTGTACATTGGTACATGTACTATGGTCCTCATCATTACTATAAGTACCATCAAAGCAGGAGGATGGCTCAATTATTGCACTGTAAGGTCCAGGAGCTGAAGCTTATTCCCTTGAAAAACAATTAGAAAAACAGCATACTGTACTGTACTTATATTCCTGTAAATGTTTCACAATTATACATATCCAACATACTTCCAAACTCTAATGATTCACACATCATCACCTACGTAAAACGTCTTATAAACTACTCCATAACTTCTACACAAGCTGCTTCATACTGCACACTACCACCACTACACAAGCTGCTCCATACTTCACACTACTCTACCACAACTACTCAAGTGGCTCCATACTGCACACTACCACCACTACACAAGCTGCTCCATACTTCACACTACCACCACCACACAAGCAGCTCCATACTTCACACTACCACCACTACACAAGCAGCTCCATACTTCACACTACCACCACCACACAAGCAGCTCCATACTTCACACTACCACCACTACACAAGCAGCTCCATACTTCACACTACCACCACTACACAAGCAGCTCCATACTTCACACTACCACCACTACACAAGCGGCTCCATACTTCACACTACTCTACCACAACTACTCAAGTGGCTCCATACTGCACACTACCACCACTACACAAGCAGCTCCATACTTCACACTACTCTACCACAACTACTCAAGTGGCTCCATACTTCACACTACCACCACTACACAAGCAGCTCCATACTTCACACTACCACCACCACACAAGCAGCTCCATACTTCACACTACCACCACTACACAAGCGGCTCCATACTTCACACTACCACCACTACACAAGCGGCTCCATACTTCACACTACCACCACTACACAAGCGGCTCCATACTTCACACTACCACCACTACACAAGCGGCTCCATACTTCACACTACCACCACTACACAAGCAGCTCCATACTTCACACTACCACCACTACACAAGCGGCTCCATACTTCACACTACCACCACTACACAAGCAGCTCCATACTTCACACTACCACCACTACACAAGCAGCTCCATACTTCACACTACCACCACTACACAAGCAGCTCCATACTTCACACTACCACCACTACACAAGCAGCTCCATACTTCACACTACCACCACTACACAAGCGGCTCCATACTTCACACTACCACCACTACACAAGTGGCTCCATACTTCACACTACCACCACTACACAAGCAGCTCCATACTTCACACTACACTACTACACAACTACTCAAGTGGCTCCATACTTCACACTACCACCACTACACAAGCAGCTCCATACTTCACACTACCACCACTACACAAGCAGCTCCATACTTCACACTACCACCACTACACAAGCGGCTCCATACTTCACACTACCACCACTACACCGGCTCCATACTTCACACTACCACCACTACACAAGCGGCTCCATACTTCACACTACCACCACTACACAAGCGGCTCCATACTTCACACTACCACCACTACACAAGCAGCTCCATACTTCACACTACCACCACTACACAAGCAGCTCCATACTTCACACTACCACCACTACACAAGCAGCTCCATACTTCACACTACCACCACTACACAAGCAGCTCCATACTTCACACTACCACCACTACACAAGCGGCTCCATACTTCACACTACCACCACTACACAAAGCTCCATACTTCACACTACCACCACTACACAAGCAGCTCCATACTTCACACTACCACCACTACACAAGCAGCTCCATACTTCACACTACCACCACTACACAAGCAGCTCCATACTTCACACTACCACCACTACACAAGCGACTCCATACTTCACACTACCACCACTACACAAGCGACTCCATACTTCACACTACCACCACTACACAAGCGGCTCCATACTTCACACTACCACCACTACACAAGCAGCTCCATACTTCACACTACCACCACTACACAAGCAGCTCCATACTTCACACTACCACCACTACACAAGCAGCTCCATACTTCACACTACCACCACTACACAAGCGGCTCCATACTTCACACTACCACCACTACACAAGCGACTCCATACTTCACACTACCACCACTACACAAGCAGCTCCATACTTCACACTACCACCACTACACAAGCGGCTCCATACTTCACACTACCACCACTACACAAGCGGCTCCATACTTCACACTACCACCACTACACAAGCGACTCCATACTTCACACTACCACCACTACACAAGCGGCTCCATACTTCACACTACCACCACTACACAAGCGACTCCATACTTCACACTACCACCACTACACAAGCGGCTCCATACTTCACACTACCACCACTACACAAGCAGCTCCATACTTCACACTACCACCACTACACAAGCAGCTCCATACTTCACACTACCACCACTACACAAGCAGCTCCATACTTCACACTACCACCACTACACAAGCGGCTCCATACTTCACACTACCACCACTACACAAGCGACTCCATACTTCACACTACCACCACTACACAAGCAGCTCCATACTTCACACTACCACCACTACACAAGCAGCTCCATACTTCACACTACCACCACTACACAAGCGGCTCCATACTTCACACTACCACCACTACACAAGCGACTCCATACTTCACACTACCACCACTACACAAGCAGCTCCATACTTCACACTACCACCACTACACAAGCAGCTCCATACTTCACACTACCACCACTACACAAGCGGCTCCATACTTCACACTACCACCACTACACAAGCGACTCCATACTTCACACTACCACCACTACACAAGCGGCTCCATACTTCACACTACCACCACTACACAAGCGACTCCATACTTCACACTACCACCACTACACAAGCGGCTCCATACTTCACACTACCACCACTACACAAGCAGCTCCATACTTCACACTACCACCACTACACAAGCAGCTCCATACTTCACACTACCACCACTACACAAGCAGCTCCATACTTCACACTACCACCACTACACAAGCGGCTCCATACTTCACACTACCACCACTACACAAGCGACTCCATACTTCACACTACCACCACTACACAAGCTGCTCCATACTTCACACTACCACCACTACACAAGCGGCTCCATACTTCACACTACCACCACTACACAAGCTGCTCCATACTTCACACTACCACCACTACACAAGCAGCTCCATACTTCACACTACCACCACTACACAAGCGGCTCCATACTTCACACTACCACCACTACAAACACACCTATACAAGTAATAACATTCTGAACCACGCCTAAAAGCATGTATCTATGCAAAAACAACAACTGTCATTTCTAGGAAGACGTCAACCAGCAAAGGCAACTCACGTGTTGAAGGCGTCCGAGCCAGAGTGGCACGTAGTGTCCCCACCAACAGTGCTGCAAGAGGTACTAGGAGGATCATAGTACCAATAGAGCTGGTTAAGGCCACATGCGAAGCTCGTCAGCACCAGGAAGAAGATGAACAAAAACTTGGCAATATCTGTAATCAGGAAATCAGTGCTGATGAGACCCCTTTTTGCAATATTATTATTTTCTTATCATTAGAGATTTATAGCCGAATTGTCCACTTTAATATAGATTGGATCACCCTCGATCTTATTTCAGTGATAGACACCATATGTTTCTGCGATGGATCCTATTTCTTCCATATTACCTATGTGTAACCTTAAAATTATCTTCTCGTACTGTGTGTAACCTTAAATTATCTTCCGGTACTATGTGTAACCTTAAAATTATCTTCCGGTACTATGCGTAACCTTAAGATTATCTTCTTGTAATATGTGTAACCTTGAAATTATCTTCTCGTACTATGTGTAACTATCTTCTTGTACTATGTGAAACCTTAAAATTATCTTCCAGTACTATGTGAAACCTTAAAATTATCTTCCAGTACTATGTGTAACCTTAAAATTATCTTCCGGTACTATGTGAAACCTTAAAATTATCTTCCGGTACTATGTGTAACCTTAAAATTATCCTCCTGTACTATGTATAACTTTAAAATTATCTTCTGTACTATGTGAAAAGTTAAATTATCTTCTAGTATTGTGTAACATTAAAATTATCTTTCAGTATTATGTGTAACATTAAAATGTTAACATGTAAACCAGTCATTCATATTCTAATTATTTGTAACGTGTATACTATACTAATTATAAACTACTGTATAATTAGTACTTATAATAAATATAATTATATTTATAATAAAAATAATAAACCAAAATTTTCTGCAACAAATATCCTGCATTTCATATGTTCATAAAATAGCAATACAATTTTTCAAATATTACATGACTCTTAATTTAGTTTTAAGTTTGCACAAGATGCTGAGTATACTAATGGCCTTATAAAAAATTAATTTGCAAATACTGATTCACTACCATGCCACCTAACATTTTTATGAATAAAGATTCTATTCTATTTTAAATGTTTTACTTGCATTGTTTATATTTTTGATATGTTGCAAAATTATAGACATTCTTTAGAAGGTTTACAAAATTTCAGTGAGGTAATTGGCATCAAAATTCCTATTACAATATTTTGTCATCAGAAGTGCAAGGGCAGCTAGTCTTTAGTTTGTGTACTATTGGGTGAACAAATAAGTAAGAAAGCCAGTGACATCTTATTTTTTTTTCACAGTGGCATATATGCCTTTGTTGACAAAACCCACTAGGAATCTAGCTGCAGTAATAACACAAACTATAATACTAAGTGTATTCATTCTATAAAAGGAAAATATGACAAATTGTACATAAACCTGAATATGGTTTTCCTTTGTCAATGATACAAAGCCTGTTAGGTTTATCAAGGTCTCCCTTGGCCAACTAGCAACCTTTCCCAGGATGCAATCCACAACAGTTGCCTAACTTTCGGGTAACCATTTGCTGCTAGGTGAATAAGACATATCAGGTGAAAAGACATCCCCAAATGTGCTCAAACGTCTCCATTCTGGTTCGGGAATCGAACCTGGGAACCTTCAGCTGTGAACCACGATGGCCATTACTCTACTCAATTTAGAGCTGACGATAGTATTGCAACACATTATGCAATAATTCTGACGTAATAATGTGGTCTTTGCTATTTAGATCTTGGTTATTAAGGCAATGGGGAAGTGGTGACGTTAAGAAGTAGCCTTACTGCTTGAAAATTTCTGACTTTTCTTGACTCACAATTGGAGATCCAGAGTGAATTCCTGGGCAGGACAGAAATGGTTAGGCTTGTTCCCTTTTACCTAATGAGTTTGTTAACCTAGCAGTAAATAGATACCTGGGAGTTAGGCAATTGTTGTGGGGTTGCATCCTAGGAATGATCAGTAGGAATGTACCTTGAAGAGGCCTTAATACAAACCTGAATATACATCCACAGGTTTCCTGTCCCAGACAAATTATTATTAACTTGAAAATTTGTGGTATAAAATATTAAAATAAGAAATCAGATTACAATTTAAAGTTCAGCCCTGCAGTACTGTACTGGCACAGCCAACAGCATACATTTTTGGACATCACTCTTTCAAACTGACCATTTTCATACTTTTACTGGCATGTTTGCACAATGTTATGCAGACGATGATTACCAAAATACAGAATTTTAAGTTATCCGGTTCTTAAGTGCATAATCGGTAAAAAGTGGTGTACTCTACAATGCTTGCTAGACAACAATAATTTGAAAAGCAAAGTTGAAATTCTTTGATTCTTTTTGTTCAAAGTGGAATGGATTCAGTTATAGGCACAGAATTAGTATAATTTGTAAAAAAATATTTATTAATATAGTTTTTGAAGCTGAATCTTGATGTTCATTGGCTGGTTGTATTTCAATTACTTACAAGTTTCTAACTGTCTTATTAAGGTCTAGAGCTACATACCTATGATCATGCAGCCAAGGGAAATTTGAAGGGGGCCAAGATGAGGGTTAGTCTGAAACAAGTAGATGATTCTGGCAAAGGAGAAGACATTGGCCACAGCAAACACTCCTTCGGCAATGAGCGTTGGATCATTGGCTGGCCACTGGGCACGTGGAACCTCTCTGTGGGGCAAGAATACAGACAGTGATGTCCTCTGTGATGTCTTGAGTATACATGAGACTAAATACATAGTTTTAAGAAGAGTGATACAAACAGAAGTAGTTTAAGATATGGTAATAATAGGAGAGGATAAGATAATGATGAGAACAAAATTGTAGTGTTTAAGACAGCAGGTAAGAATTGGGTTTGCTTGGCAGAGTGAAAAGTATGGGGTTGTCCTTTCGTTTAACTATATATGGATAAGGGATGATGCATTCCTCACCTGGAACCTCACTCACAGAAGGGGTGATGCATCTCTCACCTGGGACCATACTTGTTGGTGGTAATCTGAACGAAGGCAACGGCCCGCAGACTGAAGGTACACAGGTAGAGGGAGAGCATTATGAAGTCGAGCCAGTTCCACCACTGGCGGATGTAAGCAGTCAGCCCCTCTTCCCATAGCTGTTTGCACTCTGCCCACACCTGTAACATCCACCATATGTGGCAATCATCTCACACAAAAGGGAAGGTGTAAAGTTGCTGTAGAATGGCAAGCTAAACACCTGATGAGAAATAATACATTGTAGTAAATAATAGTTATATGATGTAATATTATAATTAAGACATTATGTGAGGTAATATTGCAATACAGTATAGTGAGGTAATATTGCAATACAGTATAGTGAGGTAATATTGCAATACAGTATAGTGAGGGGAAATTAGATATGGCTAACAACATGTGTCCGATAATGGTTAATGCATTATCACTGTGCCAATGAGAGAGAGAAGAGGCGAGAAAAACAGTAGGAGCTACAAGGATGATTCGAAGCTATGCACTGGGCATGCTCCACACTACGACATGGCCCTACACTCTCCTCATGGCTCCTACTGAATTTCCCATTGTTTCACCACATGAATGCGAGCTCTTTGTGCAGAGAATGTAAGAGTAATGCATGTCAGGAAAGCAGGGGAACAGTATAACAGATTGCATACAAGATATAATTCAACACTGTTTCAACACACACACACACATGTACAGTTTTGTTTGCATACAAGACAATATGATTGGCAATTAATACAGATGAAACTAATTTCATAGTAGGGGTATAGAAGTTAATTTTAAGTATGAAACCAGTGTGACAACAGTACTAGATTTAAATACCTTGTGTGTGTGTGTGTGTGTAATTACCTAAGCATAGTTACAGGATGAGTGCTACTCATGGTGTCCCCATCTTCCCAGCACTCTTTATAATGATCCTTTAAAACTACTGAAGGTTTAGACCTCCACCATCTCCTCAGTTACAGTAACTTCTTCCAACCGTCTACCACTCTGTTTGCAAAAGTAAACTTCTTAAATGTGTTTTTGGCAGCTTTGTTTTCCGAGTTTGAACTTTTGTCCTCTTGTTCTTGAAATTACAGTTTTCAAAATCTCTTATTTGTCAATTTTGTGGATGCCTGTTACTATTTTACATAGCCTACAGTATGACTAACCATACAGCTCTTCCAACTGTAGTCACTAGCCTTTGTACCGGGTTACCAGTACAACATGGTTACCATGACGACAGTGATGATGCCTCTTAAGTTTCTCAGCATGCCTTTGTTGTAGCTCATCATGCCAAAATTATTCACCTTTGAAACAAACCAGAGAAGATCCCTCTCCCTACCATGGAACAACTAATCATAATAAACCCTATTCTCATAAATAAACCTTTGTAAGCACTCATGACACAGCTAGTTTCAGAACCATTCTTAATGTTCCAGGACCTCACTTCTTGTCCAGAATTTTCAATATACTGCACCTATGAACTACAAATAATGTCATAAGATCCCTTTCTCTTTCAGATTCACACGTACAATAGACCCAAGACCCCCCTACCTTGAACCCAAGGTCTTTTACCATGTTGCTAAAATGCCTCACTATGGCCTACACTAAACTCACCATGCCAGTAACCCAGAAAAAAATGAGCCACTCGACAAAGGTTGGTGCAGGTCCACGGAGATTCCTGCGGTGTCTCTCGCTGCCCTCTGTTCTGGTGGAGGCCAGCACCAACAGCACTAGGAAGAGCCCGAAGGAAGCACTGTACCGGGTAGTAAGGGAGAAAATATGGATTTGTTTATGTAAAATGTGGCATAGCACAAATCAGATGCATCCAAAATTTACTGGATCTACAGGGATTGAAAAAACTTTACTGGATCAAAGTATACAGTTGATTTTTATTACAAGATAGTACTGTAGATTAAAATCTAATATGGTAAAATCCTAAGGTATTCCCTAAGCAGATATAACTTTAACAACAAAATCTCTCCTATTAACAACTAGAGTACCCCGTGTTACTTGGAACTTTTTGTTCCAGGTAGCGAATCTTTAACAACAACAACAACACAAGGCAGCATTCTAGGACCTCTCCTATTTCTAATTTACCTGAATTTACCTGAGGGCCACCATCTCTATAGTGGCTTCAATGGGGGATAGGAAGCCCATTGTCAATGGGCTTGTCAATGTTTCTCCTATTATTATCCCTAAGGATTTTTGTCATCTGGATTTTGAACTGTGACATTTATGGCATCAGCGGGTAGGTGATTCCATGGGTTTATAACTCTTCACAGCTACCTGCGGGCCACCAGTTCTGTTTCAGTGGACGCTTTGCTGGGCGATTCTGTTTCCTTAGTCCCTTGTTCCTGCTGTGTCATTGAGGCTTGTGGTCTACCCCTCGGGTCCACAGTATTTGCCAATTTGCAGCTCAGGGCACAGTCATCTTCATATCCTGCCCCGATATTTGGGCTTGGTGTCTTGGCACTCTAACAGGGTTCTGGCAACTTAGTATTTAGTCTCGTTGTTGCTCTCAATGATTAACTAACTGCAGAGAGCCACCTGGGGGCTCCCATCCAGAAACCAAGCATTGAATGTAATGAAATGCCACTTTCAGGAGGAGCCCTGCAAGTGGCTCAGTCATTCTTCCCTATTTTCAGCTTCATCCATTCATAGCTGGGTTGTCCATCAGCTCCAGAACTGATCAGGGAAGCTGGGACTGGCCACCTGGTGATAACAGTCAGTATTACAAGTTCTGAGCTAAGTTCAGTGTTTTTATGTGAATTGTGTGCGGAGTTGTTTGGAAGTTTTGAAGCTTCATTTTCTGTGACCCCTGCAGCTGTTAGTTAAACTTCGCTGACTTTCTGGAGGCTTTAACTGGAGTGGTGGCAGATTGTCACTTGCTCCCTATGCCTTTGTAATGGGGGGAGGCAAGTTCTGGCTCTGGTCTCAGGGAGGCCAAACAGAAGTTCCTCTATTGATGTGACCTTTTGGTATACAGCAATCTCAGCAAAATAGCTTGGGAGCCACAGGGAGGCTGCCTCCAGAAAAGTCTTCTAGACAGTTGGTATATTTAAACAAATTAGGTACTGGTATTATGTTCCCCCATACTGCTCGTCTCATTCTATATTACTCACTGCTTTATCATTACCATATCAAACTTATATGTGTATGAAGCTCAGCCACCATAAACTACATAACTCAAACCCCATCATCACCCAGCAAAAATCAGCTGTCAAAATTGTAATAATTTTTTTCAGATAACATACAACCCTCTATTGAAATACCTGAATATGCTACATATACATTCACTCCATATACTGTATTCTCTTCTGCTATTTACACTTACAAAGCCTTATTCCTCAATGCAATACAAACAAAGGAATCAAATATGATTTCTTATTGTTGGGGGCAGAAAGCCTGTTATGGTTGTAGAGGTCCCCTTAGGCCAACGACTGACTTTCCGCAGGATGCAACCCCCAACAGATGATAAACTCCAGAGTAGTGCTAGGTGAACAGAAACACCCAAGGGGTGTGAAGGGAACGGAAGGGAAGTATCAGGAGAAATCAGGGTAAGGATTTGGGAAGGGACGAGGGGAAAGGAATGGTGCCCAACAACTTGGACGGCCGGGGATTGAACACCGACCTTCACGAAGCGAGACCGTCGCTCTACCGTCCAGCCCGAGTGGTTGAGCCCAAGGGGGTGTGAGAAAACATGCCCAAATGTCTCTAACTTGCTCAGGAATTGACCCCAGAACCTTTTGGTTGTGAACCGACTCTACTAGTGAAGTAAAAATTCTTCACCGATTGTAATGAAAACCCCTTTATGGTGGGGACCACTCAATACCTTTTTGAATACACCAAGACCTCTGCTTAGCTGATGCCTTCCATCCATCCACCTTTCAATTCCAATGGAAGAACATTTCTTCCCATCCATATCTATCTATATCTATCTCTGAAATATAGTAGATTATAAGTAGTAGTCTACTGCAGCTGGGTTACCTGTGATAGATGAACTTCATGAAGGGAGAGCGTATTACTCTGCCAAGGCTGGTTCTGGGAAAGATGAGATAAATGATGGCAATGATAGGCATGCAGAGGATGATGGAGAGGCAGAGCAAGATCTTGACCAAGGCATTCCTCCGGCGCCAGATGGGAAGACCTTCATGCCACACTGACGTCAACAGCTGCTGGCAGTTTGGGTGAGCCACAAACTGTCATGGGAGGACAGAACAAAGTAGTGCAATCATATATATGTTCATGTCTGTTTCTTGGTACATAGGAGTTTATGAGAAGAGCAAATAATAGAAGACTTTTGGATGCATACCAAGAAAATGTTTGGATGTATTTCAAGATTATCTGCTAGGAAAAAGAAAGCAACATTCCATGATAAGGCTACAGAAACTAATTAGGTGGACAGATGAAGTCATTATGGAAGAGCCGAGGCAGTCTTCACTCTCTCTGCCTCATACTGCTGGTAAGAATAAAGATGGATGAAGAAACACAATACTGTGTTGAAAACCTTGCAGGAGCATTTAACATTTTGCAGGAGCAGGAGCATTCTTGTATTTTTGCAAGAGAAAAGTTAAACTTGATATTGTTTTGACATGCAAAGTAGCATTCCTCATAGTTGGATGGGAGAAGAATAATCCATTTCCAATAGTAAATTTTGTATTACATTTGTTAAGGGTTTGCTATTAATAGCTGAATTTAACCCTTTGCTGCAATAACTTATTTACCATTTTGTTTCTACTGAGGGTTGAAATGAGAGTAAAAATTTATGTTTTTTCTCTTATTAAATGTCTACAGTAGTTAGAAAACCACCGTTCTTTCCATGCACATAATTAATGCAAATATGATCCAAATAACTCAATACCATCCAGGCCAAATGTTTCCTAGACAGAATATCATTATAAATAGAGGATGTCCATGATTTGCTTGGCATTTGAATGCGTGGCTTTGGAATTATATGGGGGAATTTCCATTATACTGTACCAAGTTTTATAATATGTCTGTAAATTCCAGTGTTATGAATGTTCAGAATAGATTAATCTTGTATTTTTGTGTTGGATAAGCTTTTTGGGGGTTATACTGATGCATCACCGCACATTGTAAGCATTCTGGGCTTCATTATGTGCTGGGGCTCAACACATAGCGGTATCTGTTGACCAAATAATAGTGGAATAGGTAACAGTAGGACAACTTGGGAAGAAAACACGGAAAAAAATTGTACTGAAGGTATCAGATGTAATCCTTATGTTTGGTTCAGAGCCTAACTGAGAGAAAATTTTTATTTGAGCTCAGAGGAGTCTTATAAATTCTTCAAAGTGTAATAAATGAGCATAACCCCGTTACTTCTGGCGATGTTTATAACTCTGGTTACCTGCTTTTGATCATACTTAAGGGCCAGCTTAAGCCTTGATAACTTCAGCTGTTGAGGATCATCCTCATCGTCATCATCCTCAGAGTCTTCTTCACTGCGGCGGTTGAGGACCGCAATCACCTGATGGAGGAACGAGGGATATCTTAGTCAAGTGCTAAGAATGTAAGTAATTGTGTATTTATCTAAAATTACCTGAAGGTAATATTTTACCCTCAGGTATTATTAATTATTTCCATCTAATTATTATACATTATTTCCACCGAGATCTTTATTTTTGATCCAATTAAAAAAAAAAAAAAATGCTGCTAACTGGCAGGATAGCCAGAACTAAATTACCTGATTGGACAGTCTCTCCTGTCTTCTTTCCCCTCTCCCAGCTCGAATCCCTGTTTCCCCCATTCCCCAGCCCAAACCCGTTTTCCCCACCCTCCTTCCCTTACATATTTTGCCTCTCACCTCCTGTGTAGAGCGACACTGGTGTAGCAGCTCACAGGTGTACTTCTTGCACTGGTCACTCAGCTCCAGGTAAGTGTCCTTAAATTCGTTCTCCACCCGTGCTAGTCGTTCTAGCTCCCATGACAGCTGTCAAACAGGTGCTATACATGCATTATTCAGTAATAAGGCACTAGAATAGGTATTCTGTTAAATAAAGGGCTGACTGTAACAAAGGCAGCTCCGGTGTGCATTTTGTATTATTATTACTACAGTACTATTATTATTATTCAAATGGTGTTGACCAGACCATACACTAGAAGGTGAAGGGACGACGACGTTTCGGTCCGTCCTGGACCATTCTCAAGTCAATTGTCACAATCGACTTGAGAATGGTCCAGGACGGACCGAAACGTCGTCGTCCCTTCACCTTCTAGTGTGTGGTCTGGTCAACATACTTTAGCCACATTATTGTGACTCATCGCCTGCATTATTCAAATGGTGCTAGAATCTGACTGTTATTCAATATTTCAATGATCCCAGTATACCTATACATCTATTAATTCATATTTAACTGGGGGGTTAAAATCTATAATAGGACATGCATTCTTACATTCCTATACAGTATACAGTACAGCACTATATAGGTGTTCTGAGGTTTATCAATTAACATGTCTGGGTTCATACTTCATATTTATGCAATTTTTTGTTACTAAAATATTGGAGAATGTTTGATATTGTAGATCTTGAAAGGAGTAGTTCTTGAAAATTTACGTAACTTAATCTAGATCTTGAAAGGAGTAGTTCTTGAAAATTTACGTAACCTAATCTCTGGTTAGGTTATTTTGGCAGAAAATTATCTGGACACAATTTTGACTGGATAACTCAAATATTTGGTTCAGTGGGCTTTGGGTAACTGAGCTCATACATTATATATAAATAATTTAACATTTTATAATATATAGAAACAACTAGAGCTACAATGCTACAATATATAAAAGCCGATAGAAACAGACACAGCTGCAGAGAGGCAGATAAAAAATAGTCATACAGAGACAGAACTATGTAAATGCCACACAAGGATATATTTCTGCACCACACAGAAAACCTTGCAATAACAGCCACAATGACCAGTTAACAGATACAGTATACATACAACCAAGCACTGATAGACAGCAGCAGGAAACTTACCCTGAAAGCAGCGAGTATCGGATCTTCGGAGGTGAGAGAGATCCAGGCTGGGGAGGCCAGAGCACGGTAGGTGTGGATACGACGCATAGAGTACCGCAGCGAGTCTGCATGGAACCCCTCTGTACATGGTCGGCAGCAACATGACAGCGGGTGTGGCTTGTCAATGTATGCACCTGCAGAACACAAGGATGGAAGGATGGGTGTTTGTGTAGTGAACTGGCGAATGTGGTACAAGAGAGATGGTATGGCGGGAAGCAAGAGGCAGACATAATGAGGTAAGGAGAACATAAGAGGTCTGTTCAAGACATAAGTATGAGGTGAAGATGCATGAAGACTCATTGACTTAATCACCCATTGCAATGCTTCCTTGTACTGGGGAATCAAGCCAGAATCATGCAAGTCCTACAGCAAGTCCACAATACATGGCAATCTCAGCTTGTCATTTAGGTACAGTAGTTTTGAAGAGTTAAAAGTTCTAAATGACAAGGAAAATAGAGATGAAAATTTTCAAATATTTAACTCATATTTTATTAAGATGGTCTTAACTTGGGAAGGAAGATACAAAATTAATAATACAAAGTTCATTTTACTGGGCCTGATGTTTTACATGTTTTACATCATATATACCATGTAGAATTAAGTGAGGTGATGCCCATCAATGTTGGCTGGGGTAGTTGGTCTGGTTTGACATGGCAGTTTTTTTTTTTTTTTTTTTGAGATATATACAAGAGTTGTTACATTCTTGTACAGCCACTAGTACGCGTAGCGTTTTGGGCAGGTCCCTGGAATACGATCCCCTGCCGCGAAGAATCGTTGTTACAACCAAGTTCCCATTTTACTGTTGAGTTAAACAGAGGCTACAGTTAAGTATTTGCGCCCAGTAAATCCTCCCCGGCCAGGATACGAACCCATGACAGAGCACTCACGGAACGCCAGGTGAGTGTCTTACCACTACACCACGGAGACTGGTGTCTCTGTCCAAGTTCTGTCTTGGTCTTGAGGATGTGAAGATGTATACATTCACAGTCTCCGTGGTGTAGTGGTAAGACACTCGCCTGGCGTTCCGCGAGCGCTATGTCATGGGTTCGTATCCTGGCCGGGGAGGATTTACTGGGCGCAATTCCTTAACTGTAGCCTCTGTTTAACGCAACAGTAAAATGTGTACTTGGATGAAAAAACGATTCTTCGCGGCAGGGGATCGTATTCCAGGGACCATAGGATTAAGGACTTGCCCGAAACGCTACGCGTACTAGTGGCTCTACAAGAATGTAACAACTCTTGTATATATCTATATATATAAAAAAAAAAGAAAAAAAAAAGAAAAAAAAAAGTGTAAGCTGCCTGTAGATAGTTGGATTAGTGAGTATAATGTGTATAGTGCTTCAGCCATGTCTAATCTTTTTTTGTCATTGTGTCTTTCTATATGTATTTTGGTGTTGTTGGTCAGGATATTTTTGGCAATGGTCTGATTGTGAGTAGAAATATGTAATGCGATCTTTGTTAGGCCCTTGTTGTCTGCACATTGTCAGGCACCTTGGAAGAATTGTTATTGTTGTCTTGCCTTTATATTGGCATCAATGGGCCTGACAATCCCCAAAATGGGCATGTAAAGTTTTCTTGTTGTAATCAATGGCAAGCGATAATTTTCATTCATAGGGGGATATGAATCCCTGGAACTGCCTACCTGCCAAAGCTGTAAATACCAAAACACTGATGCAATTTAAGATTAAGCTCGATAAAATGAAGATAAATGGGGTGGGGGCCTTTAACAAGGTGCCAGCTTCCTGTCCTGATCGAGGCCACTAGAGAGATAGAAAATAAGAGATAGTTGGAGGAAATCCATTACCTCCAACAAAAAATCCAAATCCAGCACCAAAAATTCCAAATCCTAAAAAAGAAAAAAAAAGTGGCAAATGTCTAACAAAAAGTCTTCATAAATGTGTCAAATGCCCATCAAAATAGTCAGAACAACAAATTCCAAACAAAAAAGTGGCGAACATTCCCCCAAAAATGGCAAACGCCCAATAAAAAAGTCCCAAACACCGAACAAAAACCCTAAACACCTAACAAAAAAGTTCCAAATGCCCAATAAAAAATTCCCAAACGCCCAATAAAAAAGTCCCAAGCACCGAACAAAAAAGTTCCAAACGCCCAATAAAAAAGTCCCAAGCACCGAACAAAAAAGTTCCAAACGCCCAATAAAAAAGTCCCAAGCACCGAACAAAAAAGTTCCAAACGCCCAATAAAAAAGTCCCAAGCACCGAACAAAAAAGTTCCAAATGCCCAATAAAAAAAATTCCCAAATGTCCAATAAAAAATCCAAAATGCAACTCCCCCCAAAAAATACAAAACGCCCTACAAAAAAGTTCAAAACACCCACCAAAACGTTTCAAAATGCCCAAAATAAAATTTCTAAACACCCAACAAAGCAAATTGGGTGTTCTAACACCTGTAACAAGAACACCTGCCCTAACCACACCCAACAGGAACACCTGCCCTAACCACACCCAACAAGAACACCTGCCCTAACCACACCCAACAAGAACACCTGCCCTAACCACACCCAACAAGAACACCTGCCCTAACCACACCCAACAGGAACACCTGCCCTAACCACACCCGTAACAAGAACACCTGCCCTAACCACACCCGTAACAAGAACACCTGCCCTAACCACACCCGTAACAAGAACACCTGCCCTAACCACACCCGTAACAAGAACACCTGCCCTAACCACACCCAACAGGAACACCTGCCCTAACCACACCCAACAAGAACACCTGCCCTAACCACACCCAGCAAGAACACCTGCCCTAACCACACCCAACAAGAACACCTGCCCTAACCACACCCAACAAGAACACCTGCCCTAACCACACCCAACAGGAACACCTGCCCTAACCACACCCAACAAGAACACCTGCCCTAACCACACCCAACAGGAACACCTGCCCTAACCACACCCAACAAGAACACCTGCCCTAACCACACCCAACAAGAACACCTGCCCTAACCACACCCAACAAGAACACCTGCCCTAACCACACCCAACAGGAACACCTGCCCTAACCACACCCAACAAGAACACCTGCCCTAACCACACCCAACAGGAACACCTGCCCTAACCACACCCAACAAGAACACCTGCCCTAACCACACCCAACAAGAACACCTGCCCTAACCACACCCAACAAGAACACCTGCCCTTACCACACCCAACAAGAACACCTGCCCTAACCACACCCAACAAGAACACCTGCCCTAACCACACCCAACAAGAACACCTGCCCTAACCACACCCAACAAGAACACCTGTCCTAACCACACCCAACAAGAACACCTGCCCTAACCACACCCAACAAGAACACCTGCCCTAACCACACCCAACAGAAACACCTGCCCTAACCACACGCAACAGAAACACCTGCCCTAACCACACCCAGCAAGAACACCTGCCCTAACCTTTGACAGTTTTGCCCAAAAACTGTCAAAGATTGAGGAAAGATGAACACGTTCGTAAGTACGTGCATAACTGCTTCGTGAGAGGGGGGGGGGAAGGTTTAGATATAGGTCAGGTTAATTATAATTGACAAGTGGTCAAAGGGTCATGACCTTTATATGCCATGAGTCCGTCAATACCAATTGGGTGACCAGGGGGGACGGATAATCCGCTTTACCACATTTGCAATTCAAACTTCCATGTATCCGATTTTATCATTGAAGCATTAAATGGAAGCATTTGGGCATATATTCAATTATAATCATTTAAAAATAATTCATTATTATTACTGACTATGTGCACAAATGCTTATGTTTATCCGATTTCACTGTTGGCTAAGGCAAACACATGCAAATTTCTCCATTTTATCCGGATTCACATTTATTACAAGAGAAGCAGTCTGCAGTCTCCGTGGTGTAGTGGTAAGACACTCGCCTGGCGTTCCGCGAGCGCTATGTCATGGGTTCGTATCCTGGCCGGGGAGGATTTACTGGGCGCAATTCCTTAACTGTAGCCTCTGTTTAACGCAACAGTAAAATGTGTACTTGGATGAAAAAACGATTCTTCGCGGCAGAGGATCGTATTCCAGGGACCATAGGATTAAGGACTTGCCCGAAACGCTACGCGTACTAGTGGCTCTACAAGAATGTAACAACTCTTGTATATATCTCAAAAAAAAAGAAAAAAAAAAGAAGGATTTGTAGCGAGTAAACTTATACTCGCTCCATTATCTCATCATCTTAATGGCATAACTAATTAGCTCTAACTACACAAGCTATAATCCTATCCCTATTTACCGGTAACGGGTTTTCCACCCCCCTATCTTACTGTGAGGTATAGTTACCTTATATAAACAAGCGATTTCTCTCCAGGGACTCCGCTTCCTGTGCCAGGTAAGTCCACTGCGGGCTCGCCATAGCCCGTGCTACTTGCCCCGCTCCTGTGCCAGGTAGGGTACGGGCTTACCATAGCCTGTGCTACTTGGACACTTTGTTCTGAGTAGCTTAATCTGAAACAACATCTCCAGGGAGGACACAGCACCGCTCCTGTGCCAGGTAAGTCCACTACGGGCTCACCATAGCCCGTGCTACTTGCCCCGCTCCTCAGCCAGGTGAGTTACGGGCTCACCATAGCCCGTGCTGAGTAGCTGAATCTATAACAACAACAACATCATCTCCAGGGAGTTACGGGGTCACCATAGCCTGTGCTACATGGACACTTCGTTCTGAGTAGCTAAATCTGAAACAACAACAGCAATCTCCAGGAATTCTCTCCAAAGATTTTTTTTTTTTTTAATTTTTTTAATTTTGAATTTGATTTGAGAATAAAAAAAATAAAAAAAATGTTTATTTAGGTAAGGTACATACATACAATAAATATTTACAAAGATTGGTTGACTTATAGGTATAGCCACCCGCCAAACACACACCGAAACTACAACGTTGGTACAACGTTCGAACAAGTTTTAACACCTCCTAACCAGTTATAACAACCAATATAACACGTTGTAACAACGTTCTAATACGTCATAAACACGTTAAGCCAAGATGTAACAACTTTATTACAAGTTGTAACAAGCGGAAAATAAAGACATTTACGGTTTGTGTTTCCAGGGTAGTACATACAATGCCTAAAGCCACTATTACGCAAAGCGTTTCGGGCATGATAAACTTA